AAAGGGGGAATTTATATACAAAACAGGAACTAGGCGAAAAGGAAACAACTAAAGAGAACAGAAAGAACAAGTATACTTTTTTGTTTCAATGTACTGCTTACTTTTTTGGAGGGGCACTTGATCCAAACAGGCGGATCGAACAGCATTCGCACCACTCACTTCTATTCTGGGTCATATCTCTCAGCGACTCTAACCGATGAGTCCTCATTCCTTGGGTTCGNTGGACGATGGACAGATATGAGCAAGAGGTGACCAAGTTGTCAGAGGTGGTGTGAAGCGATTTCTCCAATAAAAGAACGATTATTAGCACCCCATACGACGATGAATCTCTCAGTGTTCTCCCCAGACACGAGTAATGCTTTGCAAACATCGGTGATCGAATACGGAGAGTATGTTGGCATCCTCGGCACAGAAGGGTCATGTCTCGCAACCGTAAAGCAAAACACTATGAGCCACGGAAACGCACACGTCTGTTTACTGCTTCGGAAATTACTATATATATCTGATCTTGTCCACCGTCGTGGATATTTTAAATTAGTTGCTAATACAAGAAACCTGGTCACATGGTGATATTGATGAAGGGATTACTGAGATCAACGGCTTCACTGGATATCGAGTTGACCGTCCCACAACGCATGGGAAGCGTGGAGGTCAGGTGACTTTTATTATAAACAATTGGTGCAAGAATGTGACGCAGGCATTCGCTCACTCCACTGGTTTTATTTATGCCTCTGTACACGAATTCAAGCACAGACAGCTGAGCAACTATCGGTCGAATGTCTAACCAACATTTAAATTTAACCTTCGTATCCCTCAGAAGAGTTCCTTTAGGTTTCAGATACTCTTTCCGTAGCTTTAATAATTTGTCTTTATCTCTTGCTATGCACCATCTATGGTGACTTCAATCGTGCGGACATCATATTCTGAACTGTTCTGGGTTTGAAAAACAGCGAGCTTCCCAACAGAGTTAAATGCTTATTGTGACGTGGGTCTTCAATAATATCAGCCTATTTTTCGTATCTGCCCGGTTCCCCCTTGGGTCTTTGGATCGTGCCCTTATTCAAGTTTCCACTCGAGTGTACAGCAAATTTGATCAAAAAAAAAACTCTAAAATAAAGCAGCAACATCGAAAGAAGGAAACCAAAGAACCTACAGAAACTCGGTGCGATGGTTTCGCAGACAGACATCAGCGTCTTTTACCACCTTAATCCTTTCGTCTTCTGGGACTACCTAACAAATTATCTAAACTTTTGCTACGTGCGCTGCTCATAGGAGACACTACATTCGCTGTGGTTATATACTGTTGTTCATCTGAAACATTCTTTTTGAAGCAAGAAAAGAGCATGCCGTCGCAAAGACCTCCTACGGGTAAAACTCTTACCACCTGCTGTTAAAGGCAAGCTACATAAATTGGACGGAATCTAGACTCGTAGACTACTGCACAAAAAGCCTGCCGGGAGACCGAGAACAAGAAACTAAATGGTCAGTACTCGATGGTGTCCCTAACAGCAATAGACGAGAAGATAAACTGAACATCTAATGAAGGAATCAGTGACAGGAAAACGAGGCCGTCCATAGACAACACAAACACCCATCTCAGTGTTAGATAACCAGTCACTGTTCAGCAAAAGGATGTTATGAAAGGTTTGTTGATTCTCAAACCCAAAAAATCACCCGGTCCCGATAAG